CTTGAATTCCAGAAAGTAAAAAACAAAAAATACAGAAATGGAACCAATTGTTCTCTAGTAAAGATTTTAGACTATAATTGAGTCATGTCCATCTGAAATACTATTATTGTTCCGTATATAAATAAATATATATATATAATTTATACATCTGTCAGGATGTATTTTAAATGAAACTTATAACCTGAATGAAAGTTGGAGTGATTGTAATATTTTCTTTGCAAATTGTTTTAAATGCACATCTTGTGTGACAGCAATCTTTGTCTTGGTGTTGGAATGAAAGTTATAATATAAAAACACAAAAATCTTACATTGTATTGGGACTTCAGTATTTTTCACAAGGTTTCATTTCCAACTGTGGATGTGTCAGTAGCTGTATGTGTTGTCTCTTCTCTTGTCCAGGTCATTTGGTTTATTCCCCATTGTAAGTTCGTGCTGTAGGTGCAGGCTGGCCAGGTGACAAAAGCAAGGATGCCTGGCCTACCTGCTCTCCAATTACAGTGTGACAATACAATATAACAAGAAAACCAGTTGTTTAAATAGTGCATTTATTTATATTTATTGTAACCTGCCAGATAATGTGACTAATTCCAATGCATCTGCATATTTTTTTACTTTGTTTCGAAACAAATACGAATTTTCGCTGCTTTCCATTTTTGAATTCTTCAGTAGTCAAATGGCAGTAATATGTTTTATCATCCAGTCCAACATATTTATGAGAAACCTGTAATAATATGCTTATGACTCGAAGTCTCTATGAACATTTAAAATTTATTAGGCCTGTGTAAAGTTTGCCTCAAAGAATCTCTGTTTCTATTGAAAATCAAATTTTACACATATTCAAGCAGTAAAATAAAAATAATATTTTACTAAGGTCATGTTTTAATTTGCAAGTATAAATCAGTCTGTACTCAGGTATCACAGGAATCCAAGAAAGTAAAGTGGGAACTAATTAGATACACGATTTATGGAATCTGAGTAACAAGTACGTTAGCTTCTTCAAAGAAAAGTAGATCACCTGTGTGTCCACATGCGTATGCACACTCCTGTCCTTAGCCATGTGCAGTATAGTTGGAACTAAAACAGGATTATTGTATTTGAATTGCTGCTAATGTAACAGTGTTCCTCTTTTACAGCTTGTGATTACATTATACAAATTCTTATGAGTAAAACAGTTAAAGTATTAGCAAACACATAGTATAATCATGCAAACTTATAAGAAAAACTTTCTTCTAAAGAATATTCTTCCGCCAAGTTACTTCATCATATAACTTGTTCTGTTGCAGCTAAATTGAGCGTGCCTGTGAAAGTTATAGATCTGATAAAATGTGGGAAATAGCAAATGATAAAAAGTTTGTTGCCTGTTTGTTGTTTCAGTCAAATAGCCATAGAAGTGAAAGTGTTTCTTGCCAGAAATGCGATATTCAACATGTAGCTCTTAAGGCAAAGTTTTAAGTCCTGTCTTTGCAGTTATTTCATCAAATTGAGATGCATTTTTCTGTGCAGCTCTAAGATCAAGATTGAAATTTGGCACACATTTAATTGAAGGTTCCTTGTATCTGTTGACTTTTTGTACAATGATTTGCAAATTTTTCTAAGAAAATCAACAAATAATTTAAAACATTACCTTTCAGAAAAAAATTGTTAAAAACATGTTAACAAGTAAACCACTAAAAAGATCAGCAGATGGAAAGGACCTTCAGCTATGTGTTTTCCATATGTAATAATTAGAGCTTATGGTTGTTGAGAAAATTAGATCTGAATTTTATGAAAGCAAAATTGAAGGTACTGCTTACAGCCTTCCCTTAGAATTTGTTAAGCAAAAGGAGGTATTTATACAGAAAATTTAACAGGTGGATGCTGACATTGGATGGAGAGTTTGAGTTGTACAGGTTTTTTACTCTTATTTGGAATTGACGTCATTTGTAATGTTGCATGATACCGGCACTGCTTGTCCAATTGAATGGAAAATGTTACATTGAACTAGTTAATAGTTCTTTGTGAAACAGAAAATGTTGGAAAAATTCCCTTGTGGCAGATACATTTTACAAACTGTGACATAAGAGTAGCACTTAAGTCGCAGTTATCCCCCTGCCCCTTGCAATGTTTGAATTGTCAGTTTTAACTTTTACAGCATGTCATGTCAGGTTCTTGTTATGAAGTCATTGCTTTCATTTTTAAAGCAGTTCTTACTTGTATGTCAACTCTTCTGATAATATAGTCCACTGGCTGTATGAAAGATGTTTTGAAATGTGTAATTATTCTTTGAACTGACTGAAAATATAGAAAATAGTTCAAAGGAAAGAAAGACCTCAGGAATTTGCTCCCACACACATCTTATTTTTACCATACAAAGATGTAGTTTCAGCTGAAGTCACAATAGAATTTGTCACTACTTTTAGAAACAAAAATATATGCTTGAAGAAGGCATGGTTCCCATCTTATTCATAACTTTGTTTCACACAGTACAGGCATACCATTTTATCTTGACTTGTAACATCAGACACAGCAGTACATTCATGATTGTGTACAGTGTGAACTAAAATATAACTTGCGTGGTAGTATTTTTGTGGTTATTAAAATCTTTGCTTTCACAAGATTGGAGAGGGTTTCTACTCTGTAATGCAGTGTACTATTTTCTGAACAGCATTCTGACCTTTAATATTGAGCATGCTTACAAATGGGAATAATGAAGTACAAACTAGTGAAGGTCTGCCATATTGAATTTCAATAAAATCTGTGGAACAAGTATAAGCTACATGGGAATATTCATTTGAACTGCCCGACAACTACTGGAGGAAATCTTGAATATAAGCATCTGTGTAACAGGTTTTGGGATTCATGGAAAAGTCCAGCTTTTGATAAAAATCTCACATGCAGAATTTTGACCAAAACAGTGGAAGTTTATTGGATGTATAGAATAGTTCATTTAGAGCCTTATGCAAATGAGGCTGAATTATGAATTGCTATAGCCGAAAATCTGTACTGCACAACAGGTTTCAGTGAAAATGTCCTACATCAAATTTCAGGAAAATGTGTGAAAAGGTTTATGGGATACTGGAGAAGTCCATTGGAGGCTCTATATAATCCAGGATTTATTATTGGTCTGTGTGAGTGAAAAATTGGAATTGCCTGACAACTTTTACTGAGTGTGTCCCATTTCATATTTTAGAATAATGTGACCATGTACTGACAGGCATACCTCCACACAGGTTCTTTTCTTTTGGGGGGGGGGATAATTATCTAGCATACAGAGTAAAGTCAGGAGAAAACGGAACAGTTTATTAGGGTCAAAGAAATATGAGATTTAATTTGTACACATATGCTTGTGTACCTAATAATTTTTATGGAATGTCTCAAAAAGAAAATGTTATTTCTGCCTGGTCAGTGCATGCAACCCGATTCTGATGCACATGAACAGAACAAATAATTTATGACTCTCTAAGCTTATTACAAAACCAAGCTAATTTGTTGTTAGTCTCAGTATCCCATAAAATTAATTATTTTATTGACAGTAGTGTGTATGGCTTCTTATTCACAAAACTGCTAAATTACTCATTTGCTATGTGAAAGCTCTGCAGCATTCCAGAAGATGAGACTTGAAAATAAAATTGATGTCATGAAACTCTTCGAGTTTTGTGATAATTAAATCAAATATTGGTATCAGTGGAGTTCAGTCAGACATCCACATTAATAGAAAAGAAGTATTTTGAAAGTTTTTACAGCAGTAGAATGCAGAATTTTTCCACTCTAACAGCATTTTCTTTCCATTTCCCTTTTGGTTTTGATGGGTTTGAATTTGTTTCTTGGGATATATTTAACTCTAGTGCCCCATAGCCCCCCCCCCAGAGAGTGGCCAATTGAAATCAACAGCAAACTGATAGAATAAAGTCTACAGATTTGCTATGATAAAGAGCACTGTGATTCTTACATATTTATTTATGCTGTAACATTGTTGCTATTCAAAAACAACTTATGGGCATTGCATCACTAATTAAAAGAAATGTCGGCAAACATTATCTGTAACTGATTCTAGTCATTAATAAAGCAATTTTGCTGACCATGAGAAGTTTTAACATTGCTGACAGACAACTTTAAAATAAGTAGACCCCATTCTGTATAGACTTGCAGTGGCACATCTGTATATTGATGTTTATTTTGTAGTAGAGTCTACCATAAGTGTGACTGACTGTATCAGACATACATGTACACCACAAAAACTATATTTTGATGCTAGGAATTCAAGCAGTCATATTGCCTGCATAGATTTTTCAAGTGTCCACTTGGATTATCCTCTTGATTTCAGATCAGAGCTCCTGACATTATTTTGCTGAACTGTGTATGTCTTGAAAAGGAAGGAAATGTTCCAGGTCACATTCCATGATAATTCTAACTACTTTTCACATCATCATCAGTAATCTGTCAGTTGACAGGTCCACAGTCTCTTCCAAAACAGTTCCTCCACTTAATGCGATCTAGAGCCTTCTCTAGCCACAAAAAAATATTATCAGTACTTACAGAATAGATACAACATAAACCAAAGACTTCTTTCTCATTTGTGACCTATTACATAACTTACATTCATGCAATGTATTAATGCTCAACAAATTTTTGCTATGGTAGTCTGAATTTCCACAGTTTCAGAGGTTTCAATTTGCAGTCACAGAACTTATATATATGAAGTCAGTTTCTGGAACTCGTACTTGCTTCTTTAGAGAACAAATTACATTCCTTTTCCTAATGGCAAGATGTTTTCTGCGCTTCATGTGGTTAAGAGTCTTTGACACTATCCTGGTTCATTTAGCATTTGATTTTACTTTTTAGTTGACAGGTTCTCAGATCAGATCTGCGAATGATCTATACAGTGAGGCAGAATGGAGATGATAAAATGATAAACGATGTGTGTCTTCATAGTAATTCTTAATTTAATGAGACATACAAATGTGTAGGTGTACTCAGTTATCAGTAGTAAAGAGAGCATAACTTAATGAGTAAAAGTGAAGCTGAGATCAGGTTCCAGTTTTATTTACAGAATCTCCATCTTAAATCTCCATACATCTTAAATTAGCCAAATATCAAAAAACACTAAAATAAACAGAATTACTCTACATGTACTATGTTAAACAGTAGCACACCCACTTAGAGGTCACAGAGTTGAGTGAATAGTGTCATTTAAAATAAAAGATCTTAAAATCCACGTGTTGATGGCACAAAAGAAAAGACATTTCATGGACAGTACTGATCCTGTAACTCTCCGCATGGATGTGCCACTCATTTTGTACAGATATATCATAAATAGTTTTGAGGAATATGTTCAGATTGTCAATCAGTCTTTCTATTAAACAACAAAACATCATATTATTTCACTGTGAACTGGTATATATTACATTACATTTATATTTTAAGTGTGACCTATATTCATCGAGAGGCACCTGGTCAATAGTGGACGCTTCCAGAAACTATCCAGACATGAAAGTTCAGTATATTTATTACAGATGTCAGTGATGGTTAGCAGATCTGGCAAAGAAATGGAATCAGAACATGTCTCAGCCATTCTATTTTTCTGGATTTGATTTCAATCAAAATGTCTGGTCTATTATATAGACTCTCTGGTTCCCTATTAGATCTTATATAACATGTACCATATATATATATATATACAGGGCTGTATATCCTTCATAAAATTTTTCTTTCCTAGGACATGAGAATTGCTGTTGATTTCTCTGCACATGGCAAGGTTGAATAGTTTTATATATTTGCTTTGATTTTCCTGGTTAATATCTTGCTCTGAGGATGCTTCCAAAGGCATAGAAAGATCTGTTTCCTACAGCAGGTATTTTTCCCCCTTTATATCTACAGCCGAGTCATTGTTACCCATTATGAGAGAGCCGAGATATTTGAAAGCTTAGACCTCTTCAAAGCTTTTCTCGCATATTGCATATTGCCATTCCACTCCTTCCACAGCCTTGCATGTACTTGGTTTTCTCACTTTTGATTATCAACCCAACAGATGATGTTGCCTGCATTTGTATTGTGGGTACAGATGGCTGTATCATCCACATATGCCAGTATCTACCGTGTTCTATTTACAATTGTGCCACTTGGGTTCACATGTGTATCACTCAGAACTTTTTCCAAAGTGATGTTAAAAAGGACAGTGAAGAGGGAGTCTCCCAGTCTCATACCTACTTTACATTTATATTTTAAGTACGACTTATATTCATCGAGAGGCACCTGGGCAATAGTGGAGCTTACTGTGGAGGCTTCCAGAAACTATCCAGACATGAAAGTTCAGTATATTTATTACAAATGTCAGTGATGGTTAGCAGATCTGGCAAAGAAATGGAATAAGAAAGACAATTTTTTTAAATAAAATCATATACCCAGACCAAAGTAACTTTTGTTATCTAAAAGTATCATAACATCTAAAAATCTTACATGTTTCTTACTAACTGTGAAATTCTACCAGCAAAACAAAAAAGGAACATCAAGATATGTGTGTTCCTTGCTAGGTCAACATATATAATTAAGCATAGCAAAATGAACTTATCATTATCCCTGGCGCAGATGCTGTGCCATAATTACAATTAGTAGAGTGACTTTATTGGCTTGGTATATCACAAACTGGATGGAACTGTTACTTAAAATTATAATCACAATACAAATTTATTTTGTACTCTTGGATATCACCATTTTAAATAAAATAACTACTTATGAAAAATCATTAATATGCTACTTAGGTTCCTCAGTAGATTTGTAGGCGAAAACAGCAATTTAATTTCTATCTGTACACCTCAGTAATTAATTACTCTTCCAAGCACATGGTCTTAAAACTGCCATTTCATGAATACCAAATGTAGTCAGTATCAAAACTCACAGGAACTGATAATACATTGTGTCCTGAATTTTATGATATGCCAAACTCCATTTCATGTTCATGTGCAACTGTTAAACTATAGTAATGAAAGCCAATGATACAGATCTGAAAGAGTTGACAAATGCTTAGTCAAATTCCTTTGAAATTCAAACTTTAAAACAGAACACTGTCACAAAGTTTCATCAATGAATTTTGTTACAAATGAGACGAATTTTTTGATATTTAAACACTGATTACAATATGAACTATAGTAGTGAATGACCAATAATGCAGGTCACATAAACGAATTGTCATATTCTCTCAAATTTATACTGCAAACAGAGTGCTACACTGACTGTACATTTCATATGCAAATAGCTGTCGTCAGTTTCAATATAAATAATATATGACCAGTGATCTTGTAAAAGAGTAACAAACACTCGGTCAAAATATTATAAATTAAAAATATCCGCATTAAATAACACAACTGTTATACTTCTAAATAGAAACATCTTCACTTGAAATTTATGTTCTGTTAATAAAAAGATGGAAATCCAAATGTAAAACAGAACACAAAAAAATAAGGAACAATTTGAATAGGAACATGAAAAGCATTCTTTGAAATTTATGATTTTATGTCTCAGCATGAGATGTGTGGGTCTTTGAGCTGCTTAGGCAAAAGAAATGCTTTTGTTTCGTCTTTGGCCTATGGAAGTACGATGAGCTTTCAAAGCAGTTATTGTGGCCACTGCTTCAGGATTACTGTTCAGTGGACAATATTTGATAGTGTGAGCATCATCTCCTTTAGCATTGCATATAGGACAAGTGTATGCTCGTAGGATCGGACAGACCACTCGTCCCTCGCAATCTTTCAGTATGTGGCGCCTGTAGTAAGATTCTTGTTCCCCATTGTTCTTACAAAATACACATTCTTGGATCTGCTTCTTTGTTCTCTTCTTGGAACGTACGGTGGAGGCTGTAGAGGTGCACCCAACAGCCAAATTAATCATTCTGTTGGATTCTAGGAAAGTTGACATACATGAGGATCTGTCAGTTGGCATAAATTCAGGGCAATACTCTGAATCCTGTCCATTTAAACGGAATTCTCTCATCACATCGTCTGGAAAAGATGATAAAATTTATTACAAGCACTAGTGAAAAGATGACCGACCAGCAATTCAAATAATTAGGATGCAAAGGTTCAGTACTATTGCTAATAGTGGTATTGAATCATTAAGCTTGTGAGAAGAACAGTATAGCAGTTACAATCAAATGTACTCATTCTGACTTCCAATCATTCATGTGTATCATTTTAAATCATTTGAATCTTTTATAATTTAACTGACAGTTTCTGGTCTAAGGTGATTACTAAGATCAGTCTTTTGGAATATGATGCAAGTAGTTTGGTAAATTTTGCAGGAACCTGTTGCTTTAAGACATAAAAGTATTCATTGGCTCTGACGATGGAGGCAGTGGGTCCTCCACGCCCTAAAAGACTGAGAACATAATATTCAATGCTGTGGGAACCTCTGATTTCACATGCAACTGATAATTTAATGGGTGAAAACATGAATATCATAAAGAGAAACACAGAAGACTAAGAATATGTTTCATCTCACATCATCAGAATGCAGGCACTATAATAAATGTGAAAATTTGGCAGAGTCCAGATATTTGGGAATGACATTAACAAATCAAAATTCTATTCATGAGAAAATTTAGAAGAGGGTAGTTCAGCGAATGCTTGCAACCAATCAGTTCAGAATATTTTTATCTTCCATTAGCTACACAAAAAGAGGCTGAGTCGACCCCAGGGCAATAGTGCGGCTGGAAGGTTTAGGTCAATTGAAAAAAACCAATAACTTAATCAGGAATCGAACCCGCGGCCTTCCGGCTCGTAGCATAATGCCTCAACCAACTACGCTACCGCGTATCCCGTGTACATTCATTAAAGTTAAAAATGCATGTATGAACAGTTAAAATAACATCCCATATCATAATGTATTATAATATGTAAACCTGTATATTCCGTACTAATGATTACAGAAGTCTAAGTACCCACACTATTTACATAAAAAGGAACCGAACTTAGTATCCGCGTTATCTAGGAATTCGTCCAATTCGTGTAATTTATATTGGATCCACACTCACTATGCCATCGTTAGCATCAAATGAAATAAGTTTTTTGGAGAGGAAGTAAGTTGTAAAGGAGCTGCCAGAATCATTATTATGCATAAGCAAAACCGACCCAGGGTCGATTGAACTTGATCATCTATACATTTACTATCCTGCTGTTGCTAACTGTGCAACATATAGGCTTCACAGCAATCTAGTTTCATAAATGGAGGGCACTTTGGAAACTGAACCGTCAATCGGAACGCTTTGAAATCTGATAGAGCGCTTCAAGTGAAATTCAAAGCTGTATTTTGTTATCGCAAATGTGCTTACCTTCCACTATTCCACAGTACGGTGCCTCGAGAGAAAAGGTCCATTTAGAAAACAATCTCTCGACTTCCTCGGCTAGGCTTCTGTTGAGTGGGTAGAGGAGTGGAAACACATGATTTTCAAACGCAGCCTGGTTCTCCATCGATGAAATCATCTCGTACACCTGACTCTTACTAGATTTAGTTTCAGACGTAACCTCCTACGAAGCAACAGCCAGTCTCAATACCCAATCAAACCCCAGAAATTATAACGTGCCATGGAATCTGTATCGAAATCTCGTAAGACATTGGAAAACGAACCAGAAAATAAAAATTAAATTAGTACAGACAAGTCTATTTTTTTTTCTTTTACGGCCACGAGGTACGAGTGTTGACACTAGTTCAGTGGTACAGTGGTTCAGTACAGTGCGTGAAGATAATGTGAAAAATGGATACTGAAATGTGCGGTATGGGCTGATGTTCTGTCCGTAGTTCATTTAAATAAGTCGTGTGAAAGAGGAAACTGCGTAATCATAAGCTTCTTTAGTTGTTCTCTTTTGCGAGTATTATGGCGATAGGCAAACGGAGACGAGAAATAATGAAGAGTTTTGATCAGAAATTCATAAGGGAAGGGTCCACTTTAAAGACAAAAGCGTAGTTCGACGTACAATAATAAAATGAGTCTAATAGGGTTGGAGGGTGTTGACTACATTCATTCATGTCAGGGTAGGGATCACTGACGGGCTCTTGTGAACATTGTACCGGTAATGAAATTCAAGGTTCCATAAAAGAGGGAGAATTTTGTAACTAGCAGAGGGGTCTTCTGCACAGTTATTTTGTATATACGAGTACACAGGGTGTCCCATGACGTAAGCCGATACTCCAGCTCGTTCAATAGTAAGAACAACAAAATGATCACTCTTTATTTTTTAATTGTATTGACCTTGAAAGTAGGCGACGTATCGTCAAAGTCGATGTTGTAACTGACGGTCAGTCAGTCTGTCTGTCTGGGGCTCATGACCAGATGTTTTCTTCTTTGTGAAAGTTGCTGTCCTGTCCATTTGGGGCGCCCTCTCTGACGAGAGGTCGGGCCTGTCATTTGTCAGTCTTAGTCAGTCCATGTCATTAAACGTTGCCTTGGACAGCCTATGTGCAGAGCCTGAGACAGATGAGATGGAAGCCGGGCCAGTCAGAAATGTGGGGCTCACATCCTCCTCACCCATATCGAATTATCTGGGGTCCGCCTAGGCCAGGGCCCTGCTGGCCACCTCCCTCTATATGTATATATAAGTAAAAGTAAAGGTATCCCTGTAACAGACCGTGAAGACCCATAGGGTTGTGAGACGTTGAGGGTCCCACATTTTCTAGACAATCGGCTCACAGATGGCGGTAAGGTTGTCAGCCCTACGCGCCGGCCGCCCTTTACCCCCAAGAATATTCCTGGTACTCATTTCTGTTAGAGGCTGGGTCGACCACAGGGCCATAGTGCGATTGGATGGATTAGGTCAAATTAAAAAAAAATCCAATTACCTCATCGGGAATTGAACCGCGACCTTCCGGCTTGTAGCATAGTGCCTCAACTACGTTACCGCGTGCCCCTATATATATATATATATATACCTTCAGAAATTAAAAAAAAAATGTGATGGCGTAGGCATAATTTTAGCAGTTTTTAGCAGATCGAATGCTGCATTTCTGTGTGCTTCACTGAATGCAGGAGTCTAATGCTCCTCTTATTCAGTCTGGCCGTTGAGATTCTGGTAGCAAAATCGACAAGCCTATAGCTGCCCGTTGTTATTGTTAATCAGGAATAATATAAGTCGCCTATAGTAAGTTATCACAAAATACTGATGACATATTCCGCGCTTCTAGACAATAAGGTATTTAATTTATAACTGAAATGTTGCCTCTTGTCTCCCAGCCTCTGATCATTAATGGAACTTGTAATTATCTGTGCACTATTTACCGGTTTCTGATTGGAAAAATAAATAGATCAGAGTCATAGAAGCTCTTGAGACTTATAATTAAACTGTGGATTGTGCACCTTTTCCTGCATGAACAAGGTCTTATAGCATAGTTTCTGAAATGAGGGGACGTAACCTGTTCTAACTGGGCGAGTTTCCGAGTTTTTCAAGAATTATTTAAAGCGTAGTTGTGGCAAGCCAGCGCGTCATGTGTTTCCGGAAGCTGTGGCTGCAGATAGCCAAATATTTGACTGATATTTTGTGACTGATGAGGGATTTTTACAGCTTACTGTGGGCATACCTAGCTTGTAAAGCTATTTCCGTTTTTTCTGTCACCGTATAGCCTTTGACCGGCAGAGTTTGGAGGGGGAGGAGCCATTAAATATATGTGTAATTACAGGATGTCGTTTTATTACAAAGTTTGGGCACCCGTGACTTATAATGTTTGGCCGTATTCATCCGGCTGTCACAACGCCACTTGAAAATACCTTACCCTGCACATCTGATGTAGTTCCGTTTGGTTCGCTAAAATCCCCAGTGTCATAAATCCTTCGTATACCTTGTTATACATATAACCAAAGTCAGCAAATCATCAAATGGCATCTCACATGACTCACCGACTCATATCTGAGCTCACTAGACGCTGGTAGATCTATAACGTTTTATTTTAAGTGCACATCTGCATATCGAGACAAGTATAAACTCTCTTCTGCAATCTGTAAATATTCTTTAAATATGTAAACAATATGTTTTAAAGTTTAATCTCCACAAAACCCCTTGTGATACAGTTTCTTACACAAATCTCCCTGAACGTTTTCTTACTATTTTCATGTTGTTGCAGTGAACAATATGCATATGCACTTGCCCTATTTTATTCCGTTTAGTAACTGACAGTTGTTGGGCTTACTTACCAGTAACCGGTTAATGCCTCTGTTGCCCTGGAAACACCTTCCCTCTGGTACTGATTATAAGCGACGTAAATGCAACGCGTTACTCTGCGAGTTATGACCGAACTGAGCAGCTTGCGCAGCAAGTGACACTCGCTGCTCTGGACATATCGTCCTCCCCTCCAAAGAACCACGTGTTTCTGTCTCTTGAGAACTCGGTACGCATGGAAGTTTGTAAGGGAATCAACAAGACCGAATAAGAGCGCAGTTTACGTTGTCAAGACCGTTCGTTGGGCCCACCCATCCCTCTATCCCATGGGTACCGAGGGCTTTTCCGCGGGGTAAAGCGGCCGAAGCGTGAAGCTGATCACACTTCGAACTAGTGCCGAGATCAAGAACACGTAGATATATACATGCACTCCCTCATACGTCTTAGTGGCGTATTGCTTATTTATACAATTTCTTTATTAAAACCGTCACAACACAACAATATTAAGGTCGGTGCCTAGTTTGGCTCTGCTACATGTTTCGGCCATTAATAGCCACCATCAGGCAAATACATGGCTAACATATATACAACGACTGAACTGCAGTACTAATAAAATTGGATACAATAATATTAATTATATTAAAATATTTGGCGTAAAAATACAATAAATTAGATTATATAAAACAAAAATTATAATATAAAACAAGAATAATATTCTTCGAGTGATGTTTTACATCATCGAGTCAGTCGTTGGTTTTTGCTATCTTGTGTTCCCACGGACAAATTGGAGTATTCTATATTTTGTATATATACGTGTATAATAAACTGTTTTGGAGGCTCGTGATGTAGATGTAGTAATATTAATGTTAATTACTTAGTCTGTGCCTCATCTTGCAAAGTATTGTCCGTTCTGTAGGGAATGTAAACGACTCGTATATTATTGTATATTGTATATTATAACACAACAGGATGCATGAAATGAAAATTATTGCTTATTTAGTTGAGCACAGGGGCAACTTTACCTTCATCAGAAGACGAATTTCTGTGTACACGTAATATTTCAGCCGGCAACAGGAAGACCGTTATATTTATGTACAAAGGCTCTAAGGCAAAGGGTTTTTTGAATGGCGATGTTAATTGAATAGTCAGAAAATCTGCACACAGACCAACTGGGAAGCGAACCAGGCGGCCGGTTGGGAAACCGATGAATGGCCTTAAATAATTACGCGTTATTTGTGGCTTCATGGCCTGTGATGTAAACTAGCACATACACCTGTTTCGTTAAGACGGTTAAGACGTAGTGGTGTTTATCAATTCGTATTTAGCAAGAACTTCATGTATCCTGCGCTAGATGTAGACAGCGTACAGTTTCAGTGTACCCATTAGGTAGACACTCACCGCCTGTTATTCTGATGGTAAAATGAGGTTCTCGATATATCGCTCTCGACACGATCAGCAATATGTGCGCTTTATTTTTTATCGTTTTATAGTACTATAAATCCTATAAATATTGTAGTGACCGGTAGTGACCGTAGTGACCGTAGTGACTATCAAGAGTTAATTGTCTGTTGTCATATCAGTGCTTAAGATGACAGTAGTTTTCGTCTTTTCCAACGCCTCTTTGATTTTTAAAGATACCATGACCATATCAGGGAGAAATTTCACGTTACAGACCTAACGTATTATATGTACAAACAGAATGCCGTTTAGTATCAACCTCCAGACGTTCACAATAATTTTATATTACGAGTATTAACTATTACAGATTAGAGATTCGTAAAGGAACTGCCCATGCGTATTATAAAGTAATTCTGAAATATACCAGAGTTTGCCGTAACTTCCACCTGAAGGTTTCGAACTACTACAGAAGATAATGCCAGTACGAGATAAATATAAAGGTTAGTTGTCTGAATCAAGTTTATGATATTTTACAAAATAATATAATTGAATGAAAATTTGTGTATTGCACAAAAGTCCAAACCACTAAATCTCGTTATGTGTCAAAACGCTGTTTAACTCTGCAATGGCCAGCGAAAATTTGTAATTCTTGTTCGTTGTTACAATGGCGTACAGTGTTTCTCAATCGCCGGGCCGCGAGAGGTTCTCCTGGAATTTGTCATTTAATTCTCTGTGTATTTTTCATGAATAAATATTTTGTAGTGGAAATATTCTGAGGAGAATAATATTTGTGAATGTGTGGAAAAGCTCAGACCCAAGTCGCGTAAATAAAATCTGTAGCAAATGACAATGACCAAGCCACGTATTTTTAAAAATGGAAGTATTCATGATTGATCGGGAATTTTCAGTCATCGAAATCGTTCAACTTTTGGGAAAGCTGTTTATGACCGGTCATAAAAATTGCCTGCAAGCCGATTACAACAATGGGCGGCGCACCCTCTGTTCTAAAAACTGAAGGAAATAGTTCAAGGCAGTTTGTATTCGGTTCTCAGCTCTAGCAATACTAACTACTGTTTCTTCGCAAGTTCGCATTGCAGTGTGGTGCTTGTTTCGAAACTCGAGTGTCGTGAGTTTTTAAAAGTAACAAGCCCACAGATTTAAATTTTAACATAAATAAGAGACAAGGTACTTTGTTTAATTTTGGTGTTAAGAAATCTCGTTTCGAAGGTGTTTGTGACGCAACAATTAGTGATTCACCCCCCTCAAGCCTACAGAGCGATGTCAAGGATGTACTAAAGGATGGGACATCTATCAGTACACAGAATGAAACGTCTGCATTCACACGTAAGTACGTGTACATGGACAGTTACTTAAATTTGTTTTCAAAAAACGTCTTGACATCGACCAATTGCCACGACCTGAATGTGTCACGTGTGCTGCTGTTCTGGGAAATGAAGCTCTGAAGCCATCGCGACTTACCTGACGTCAACACAAAACATTTCGATCTAGACAACAAACCCACTGAATCCTTTAGGCGCAAAGGAGATGGGCTTAAAACAGAGAAGAAAATTATTTCCCAAGCTACAACCACGGACGCATCACTTCTGATGGCATCCTACTTAATATCATTACAGATAGCTAAATGTAAAAACCGTATTTCATTAGCGAAGAACTCATTAAGCCTTCTTTGATTGTTAGCGTAATGAAGTGTTAGTTCAGTCTGCGGCAAGCAAAATGGAAAGACATCCCAGTCTCGAAAGATACAGTTGTAAGGCGGATATCTGATGTGGCAGAAGATACAGAAACACAAATCTCTGAAAAAAATAAAAATCGAAATTGTTACATTGCAACTGACCGAACAGACAGATATTCCGATATTTTGCTTACGTACGTACGATGACTGCCTCCGCCTCTGTGGTCTAGCGGTTACAGTTCCTGGCTACAGATCCAGAGGTGCCGGGTTCGATTTTCTAAGAAGTAGTGGGTCTGGAACGGGGTCCACTTAGTCTCATGAGGATAATTGAGGAGCTATTTCAAGGAAATAGGGGCTCCGGTCTAGAAAACCGAAATTAACGGTCGTGGGGATTCGTTGCGCTGACCACGCGACACCCTCTACCCGCTAGAGTTGGCACTAACTTCGCCGACAAGTGGCGGTCGCTCGGTCGGTATAGTTCGCTTGCCGACTAAAGCCACGGAGTTTTTTAATGTACGATATATTGAACATGATGACAGTGACATGAAGGAAGCCATTTAAAGCGTTTCTGAATTACCTACGCACACAAACAGCAGTGAAATTTTAAAAGTTTTAGATGGTTCCATTGACTAGAGAGGTCTCGAATGCAAAAATTATGTTGAGTTTGTACTGACGGCACTACCTGTCTTACAGGCACAAATTTAGGTTTAGTCACTAAAATTAAGGATACGGCGGGCAGTAAGTTACTGTTACCGCATTGCTACATTCATAGGCAAGACCTGGCGTTCAAAAAATGGCACCCGAGCTTAATGAAGTCCTGTCTCAGTGTGTTAAGATTATATAATTATAATATACAGTGCGTACAATCAAGTGCGCGCCGCGGCTGCAATTTGCCGTGAGCCATACCACCGCAGAACGGATGCATCTCCTCCCCGCGACTGCAGTGCTCCTACGCCGATGGTTGCATAATCGGAACCCGAGGTTGCATTAAACAGTCAGTCTTTGTCTTGCTGTGGAAGTGGAGTGGAATGTTTACAGCTGTCGACAGACGGTGGAAATGAAGTTCACTATTAAACAGCGTGTGTTTATTGTCGAAACTATTGCAAGGAAAAACATTTACAGAAAATTCGCACGTAGGTTTCGTCAGAAATATCCTGACTCGCCAGTTCCCACAAAGTCGTGTGTAAACAGGCTTCTGAAAAAGTGGCGGGCCACAGGTTCAGTGAGTGACAAGAAGAAGCAATCGAAGAGAACTGTGCTGACTGAAGAAAAGGTTAAGGATATTCAGGCAAGATTACAGATCAGTCCTCGAAAATCGTTAAGACGCTTAGCACAGGAAACTGGTGTTTCGCTAGGATCTGCTCGCACAGCCACAAAGTTAATCAAATTTCGCCCGTATAAAGTAACAGTTGTGCATGAGCTGAAAGAACCAGATCATGCAGCAAGAATTCGTTTTTGCAACTGGCTGCTGCAAAATGTACACGATGGAATAGTGGATCCTCAGCTTCTATTCATGACTGATGAAGCGTGGTTCCACGTTGGTGGCCACGTCAATGCACAAAACGTAAGAATATGGAGCAATGAAAATCCTCACGCTATACAGCAAGTGCCATTACATAGTGAAAAGGTGGGTGTGTGGTGTGCTGTAAGCCCGCGGCGAATCATTGGCCCCATATTTTTCCACGATACCGTGAACTCTGATCGGTACATTAATGACATACTGAATCCCTTCTTCGATCAGTTGAATGCCGAAGAAAGACAATACGGGTATTTTCAGCAGGACAACGCTACAGCACATACGGCTAATGCATCCATGGTCGCAATACAGGAAGTGTTTGAAGACAGAATTGTCAGTAGAGGACTGTGGCCTCCCAGATCCCCAGATCTCAGTATTTCTGATTATTATCTTTGGGGCAACCTGAAGCAAAAAGTCTACAAAAATAATCCCCGCAGCATTGATAGTCTTCAAAATGAAATTACACGCGTAATTCATTCAATTACCGTCGACGAACTGCAGAGAGTGTCGCGTAATTTATTTGTGAGATGCGCGGCATGTTTGCAAGCAGAAGGAGGTCACTTTCAGCACCTGTTATAAACCACGGTAAGTTATCTTTTTACTGTATTCTTATAAATGTGTGCATGTAGAGCAACTGATGGACGGAGACTCAGCGACACCACTACACTCACGCTATCGGGGAACGGCACTGCAGTCGCGGGGAGGAGTTGCATCCGTTCTGCGGTGGTATGACTCACGGCAAATTGCAGCCGCGGCGCGCACTTGATTGTACGCACTGTATTATATTATATACAAACAGTGCTTTCAATACAAGACTGTTAAAGCACTGTGCAATGAGATGGGCTCTGATCATAAAATCTTCTAATTCCATTCAGAAGTTCTTTGGTTGTCCCGCGGTAGAGTTCTCAAGAGGAAGGAAGTTGGGCTGCTTCTAACTGATAGGAAAAGTGAACTGTCCCGCTATTTCCAGGATGGAGTTATAAGCAGCAGTGTTGGTGTTACTGATCGTGGGTTTGGAAAGCTCGCCGTTGAGACGGTCTCAGGCGGCGCGATGGGCATGTGGCGTTTGTGGCGACCGGTTCAGGCATTCAAGTAATATTGAGATTATTAGCTCAACAATTTGAAAGACTTCAGTGTTGGTATTACTGGTTTGAGATATTTATGAAGTGTGCCGTTGAGATGACCTCAGGTGGCATGATGCATATTCCAAGTTTCAACGTTCAGAAGTTGTTAGGGAGGATATCCTGCAGACACACACAAAGCAACGTGATCTCATAAGCCCACTTTTATTGTTTTCAAAACAAGGAATGTGCACTGAGAGGTAAGCCAAAAGGAAAGAGACCAATGGGAAGACCAAGGCGTAGGTGGGTGGACAATATTAAAATGGATCTTAGAGAGATAGAGTGATATGGATTGGATTGATCTGGCTCAGGGTAGGGACCAGTGGAGAGCTCTTGTGAACACGGTAATGAACTTTTGGGTTCCATAAAATGCTGGGAACTTCTTGAGTAGCTGCAGATTTGGCTGCTCCTCCAGAAGGGCTCAGCTCCATGTGTAATGAAGTAAGTAAATAGGTGTTTCTCTTTACAGTATCTACATTATCACCCAGTAGATTCACATCATCGGCATAGACCAACAGCTGATGTGTCCCGTTTAATTTCAGTCCCGCCTGGTTTTCCTGGACCTTCCTAATTCTAAAGCAAAGTTGAAAAGGAGTGGCGGTAAAGTATCTCCTTGTTGTAGACCAAGGGTCTCCAAACTACAGCCCGGGGGCCACATCCGACCCGCGATGTGATTTTATCCGGCCCGCAAAAGAATTGTGCAGAAATGCGCCAGTTGAACTAATTTTCTAATAAGTACTGGTAAAAAAATACTTGTTCACAGATTTCAAATTCATTAATTAAGATTGTGTTTAAAATATATTGATATTCCATATTATGTTAATATTAATATTATTCGCAATTTTACTAATTCTGGACCGCATACTGCGCGGTATTTCTTCGTACTTGTTCGGCCTCGATCGGCAGTGTCACTTCGTGGCAATGTAGGTAGCGCGAGCAGTTCGTTACTAGCCGTCTTGTGCACAAGACTTCTTGCAGTGGTGCACTGTAATTGTAACAGATCATCATCACCTCAATTTAGTCAGATTTTAAGAATGCAAAAAGAGTTCCATCATTCACATTAATTGTTTTATTATAATTTGTGATGAAAATATGAGCATTTGCTGCTACTGCCTGTTTTCGTTAATATAAGATAATTTATTCTCACGTACTTTGTATTTAGGTTATGAAATTCTGTGCTTTCAATAAAACTCATATACCTAGAGTTATTAATTTCTCATTTTATCCGGCCCGCTGAAAGTGCTGAATTACGTAATGTGACCCGCGGTTCGAAAAGTTTGGAGACCCCTGCTCTAGAGCATTCTGGATAGGAAATTTATCGGACAAATGTTTACCTATAAGGACTTTACTATACGTTTCGTTTAAACACATTTTAATCAGCCTAACTAGTTTCATGGGTACCCCAAACTCTATTGTACAATACTAACCTCCTAAATGAATCATAGGCTTTCCTGAAGTCTACAAACAGCTGATGTACTGTCTCATTGTACTCCCATTTTTTCTCCAATATCTGACAAATGCAAAAGATCTGATCAGTAGTTGATCTGTTACGACGAAACCCACGCTGATGATACCCAATAATTTCATCTATGTATGGAGTTAACCTTGAGAGAAGAATATTGGATAAAATTTTGTATGAAGTTGGTAGCAGTGATATCCCCCGATAATTCCTGTAGTCAGTTTTATCACCCTTCTTGTGAACTGGTACAATAATAGACTCCTTCCACTGATCAGGCACTTTTAGTTAGAGGACTAATGGTAATGAATTTCGAGTGAACCTACAATTCACGAAAAGCAAGGCCCAGTGCAGCACACCAATTAATGTGATTAAATTAACGAAATGAACGTGTTAAATGAAAGAGTCATTGAGTCATGAGTGAAGACCCGTCTGTCAGTCTCTTCAGTCTACTGCAAGCAACACTTTGACGACTCAGAAACAAAGTCTGTGGTCTACCGCTTCCTGAAACATGGCTATCTGCGCCTGGAAATCTGCTTACGATCATAACCGCATCTAGTACCTCCCAGATATGGGAATTCAGTGTGATTAGCTGTGAATTTCCCGTGGAATGTCTACATAGCTATTTCCAGACATTCTCTAAAAAGCAACCTTTTTTTATTGCTAGTGGGGTGGGACTAAGTCCCTTGTACTGCGGCCACTTCTGGCCTAATGTACACGTACCAGCCCCAGATGATAGGTGAGGGTGATTGTGGAGCAATTGGTGGAATGAAGATTGGCAGGGGAAACCGAAGTACTCGGAGAGAACCTGCCCCAGCGCCACTTTGTCCACCACAAACCCCAGTTGACCAGACCCGGGATCTGTTGTGGGCTAAAGACGTCGTGGCCTATTTCAATCGTCATTTTCCTCCATAACGAATATCAAATAAACGTGTGATCAGGAAAGCCGTTCTCTGGACCGACAACCGTACCGGATACCTGCAGATTAAAGAGAAGATGCCTTCAGCATTAATCGCAATTCCAGTATTACCAACTTGATGGGCTGCAGTTTCTTTGTGTCTAGACTTCCGCTTTTGGAGCTCTGTAGCAGCTCCGCGCCACCGCTTCCTGTTGGACTTCCCAAGCAACACTATAGGCCGAATATGAAGTTAATTTTATCCTTTTATTCATCCGCTCTTTCTTGTTAAAGACGTCTTCAGTCAGATACTGGGAAGCCTAAGGCTTGGTGTTACGCATGTGCATAACATGGCAGTGTTTCCCTGGCGTACATGTATTGTCATCATAGTCTTACTGGTCGTGGTTCCGGCATTTTCACAGACGGAAAACAAATTGTGGCGGTCACAGGAAGATCCACTATTTAGTGGTGGGAAAGTGTTTGTGGAACGCCTTGAGGATGGAAGAAATAAAATGGAGTCAGCTCCTGAGGAAAACTCGCAATATGACGGTTACATGAGCAGTGCATCTAATGAAGATGACGTTGATTCCGAATACATGTATGAAAATATGGATGGGCACCATAGGCCAGAAGATCTGGTACATGTTACTCCAAGTGTACCTTCCGTAGGTATCAGACCAAGCGTAGCAAATGCTCCTCAAGTACCCAGTGGACCACAACCGATGACAGAGTCATCAGCGGAAGGCGAAATGTTACAGCCAACTGATCTCCCAGTGGACGGGAGCACAGGTTGCATTTGTGTTGAATATTACCTCTGTGGAGCTAACAAAACAATTATCACGAACGGCGAGGGAGGCCTTATCGGTGTCAGGTAAAACCCCACAGAAGTGAGTGTTCTTTTCAGTTACAATTCAAACAACCTTTTCCCAATAGAACCTAGTTCACTATTAAGTTAAATAGTAAAGTAAAGCTATCCCTGTAACAGGCCGTGAAGGCCCATAGGGTTGTGAGACGTTGAGGCTCCCACACTATCTAGACAATCGGCTCAAAGATGGCGGTAAGGTTGTCAGCCTTAGGCGCCAGCCGCGCTTTACTCCCCAGGAAAATTATTTAATTAATTCCTGGTATTCATTTCTGTTAGAGGCTGAGTCGACCCCAGGGCCACAGTGTGGCTGGAACGATTGGGTCAATTGAAAAATCCGATGACCTCATCAGGATTTAAACCCGCGACCTTCCGGCTTGTAGCACAGTGCCCCCGCCTAGTTCACTATTACCGAATTTAATTTGATAATTGATAAGCCATTCTTAAATGTTCTGTCTCTTGTCTTGTACAGATCAAATTATTTTGTCCAGTTTCTCCAACTCTGGTCCTGTTGCTAGGCAACGGTGACCGTCACTGTGCTGACTGATAAATTATTGTTGATTCAGTCGTATCTCTCAAGACTTAGTTACTAATTCAGTATAATGTTATGTAGTTGTGAAGCAAGCAGTTCTGGCCTTTTGAAAATACCAGTTTCAACCCTTGTCTGGAGGGACTAAGGAAGCCCACAGAGAACCTGTGAGGATACGTGGCCTCCAGATTGACATATGACCCCAAGGGGCCCTTAGTACGAGGATAAGTGAATGACAGTTATTTGATTTCACAGAATATCTGATGAAAGACAATGCCCCGGTGTGCAAGTGTGCTGCGAACTCCGTGAAGAAGGCAGAGTTACTGTAGCGACATCCAGGCCTCCAAGCTCATGTGGCGTCAGGGGTGGCAACCTGGACGACCTGGACCCCACGGTGATACGTATACTCACAGATAACAACCCCACCGAGTTCGGTGAGTTCCCGTGGATGCTGGCGCTCCTCAGAGAAGAGGACACAGAGGATGGAAGTATGGAGTACTTTTTCCACTGTGGTGCCTCGCTCATTCATCCCCAGGTGGCTCTCACTGCAGCCCACTGTGTTGGCAGGTAGTTTGTGCTCCTCAGTTTTCTCTACCAACACAGATACCAACGTTTTACAGGAAACCGCTTCTTCATCTTCAAGATAATTCTTTTCTGCTCTGAAGATGAAGGCTACTGGTTACTCCGAAACATTGATAAGTGTCTAAAAGGCTATATGGTGTCACCCAGGAGACAGAAATTTTCATAGTCTCTAAGTGGCCACGCCATAGCTCAAGCGGTTAGTCGCTGGCTTCCCACCGCGGCGGCCCAGGTTCAGTCATGTGGGGATTAGTGGTGGACAAAATGGCACTGGGGCAGGTTTTCTCCTAGTACTTCGGTTTCCCCTGCCAGTCTTCATTCCACAATCACATTCCAATCACCCTCACCTATCATCTGGGGGTGGTACAATAGGCCAGAAGTGGCCGCAGTGCCAAGTGGACTCAGTCTCACCCCACTAAGAATAATAATAATTAAAAAAATACTGGTTGAGGTTTACACACATCCTTCAAATAGTGTTGTGTGGTTTGCTGTGCAGTTCACATGCGATATTTTCCTGTAGGGTCTGCTGATTTTGTCTGTATTGAATCACAAAATTCTCATACCTGAGAAATCAAAGGGCAGGGCTGTACATTTTCTCTGGAAACGAGAAACAGCATGTCCACAGTTGGCCTGTAAAAACACAGAAAATGTTCCATGATAAAATTCCTTTAATACACATTCACTTAATTTGCAAGCAATGTATACAAGGAATCTAATAATTCTCTGGCACATGGATATCCTCTTAGGGGTGCTGTCATATTTTGGACTACTTTATACTGTAGTGAATTTTCTTGCAGTCGCAAGGAGAGGGAGCTGAAGATACGGGCCGGAGAATGGGACACTCAGGCCCAGACAGAACCACTGCCATACCAAGAGCGATCTGTTTCTCAGATCATCATGCACCCAGACTACTACAGTGGCGCACTCTATAATGACATTTCTCTTCTCATCCTGGACTCTCCACTGACAGTTGCTGCCAATGTGCTCCCAATCTGTCTGCCAGACCAGGATGCAGTCTTTGATGGAAGCCGCTGCTTTGCCACTGGATGGGGAGTTGATGCTTATGGTCAGTCCCACAGCAGTTTTGACTTCTAACTAACCACTCAACAGCTGTAGGAATGTACGTAGTTTTCCAAATTTCAGATTACATCACGCAAGCTCTGACAAGATATCCTTAAGGACTCTTGGACTGAGCTTTATATATGGATGAGAAACACGGTAAGTGACTGAAAGGATGAAGTCATGTAAAGATTGTGGGAGAGGAAACTTTTGAGGAAGGTGAATGGGTTCATAATTTATCAAAGAGTTTGGAACGTGAGGTAATGATACAAAACCATAGCTTTGGTAGTGAGTATTAAGAGAAGAAGGCCACAGTGTTTAAGGCATGTTACTAAAACATATAAAACAAGGGTAACTAAGAACATTTTTAAACTAGCATAATGTACTTGTCTGTCAAGTAAGAGACAAGAATGGGCATCTGTGATAAGGAGGTCATACAGCACAGTACATTGCACAGAGCCCAACACACGCACTGACATAATTAAAAACAATTATGTTTTAATGGATAAAATGAACTTAACATTTGCAGGAAGAGATGGTAGTTATCAGACAATTCTGAGGAAAGTAGAGGTTCCAATTGTGCCTTCGTCAGATTGCCAGGAGAAACTTCGATCAACGCGACTAGGTCCATTTTTCCGCCTACATGGCAGTTTTATATGTGCAGGAGGTGAACGTGGTGAAGATACTTGCAAGGTAGTCATTAATACTAAATAATTGTTTTTAGTATTCTGAGGTTGTTTTAATCTTTATGATTTGAAAGAAACAAATACCTTATTTAATTTATGGACATCAGCGATGAGGACAGGGACACGGTATTTTGAACCTTCAGAGTCTGTAAGATGTTGAGTATCTGAGTGACTGACTGCTTCTCAAGAAGGGCTTGTCCTCATGGAATTAGGTAGGTATAATCAGATTCAACCGAGATGGCAGTGAGTGTTTTTTGTGTTACTAAGACAGCCAGAGCTAAGAGGCTGTAATGTTTTAGATCTTGTGCATGAACTTCGTTCAGTCTTCTCCAATCTTTGGTTGACATAACAATTACAACTGTTTTATTGTCTAGTTTTCTTCTTTCTTCTGTTAACTCATCTTTACTGAGTCAAAATGTCTTCTCGGCTTTGTTCATATAAGATCTTAAACCCCTTTCCTTCCCCCAGAGCAAGGGACTAGGTCAGATTTCTGTACAAAACAAAAGCGAAAATATAACTACCTATATTTTAATCTTTAGGATTTTATGTGGGGCAAAGCTGACCACTCACCTCAAACTAGTGCTGAGGTCAGGAATACATGGATCTGTATATGCATTCATTGCATAGTGTTTAATTAGTTAAGAATTAGGAAACCTTTACTTTTCCTTTATCATCTGTCTTCATGGTTTTCCAATTAGCTCTTTCGAGCACATTCATAGTGTAAAATTCCTTATGCAGTTGTAGTGCCATCCATCTCAGCTACATAACTAGGCCCTCATACACTCGTATGATTGACCACCTTAATAATAATTTATGTGCTATATAAATCACTTCATAATTAAGTATGGTTGCTTTTTAACTTCTGCAGGGTGACGGAGGAGGACCACTAGTGTGCCAACTTCCTAATGCATCCAGATATGTGCAGGTGGGAATTGTGTCCTGGGGCATTGACTGTGGCATGAATAATATCCCTGGCGTGTACGCGAATGTGCCACGATTTAGAAATTGGATTGATAATTTGCTAAAGAATCTGAGATTGTAGAAATTCTGAAGAGGATTGGGATGCAAATGTTTCAAGTGGCTTGAGTTCTGGTTTCAATTAAGCTCAGGCTTACTGTCCTCTGAAAATCAAGGATAGCTTCATAAAAGCTCGTTTGAATGAACTGGATTCAGAGGGAGCCTAATGTTTCAGGAACATATTGCTTCTGTCTTTGTGCTCAAAGACGGAGGTGACATGTTCCCCAGAATGCTGGTCTTTCTGAACTGCGTGACATTGCAACCCAGAAGCTCATACTCTTCTTACAAACAAAGATGCGTGTTTAATCATTAGTAACTGAAGAGAAATAAGATGTAATACCAAATAATGATGAAACAGTATGATTTGTTTATAGGTTATTTGGACACCATATCAACTGCAGAGGTTTCTTTAATACTGTAGCTGCTGTGATAGTCATCATTGTATTGATAGCAATAATTCATATGGAAATATATACCCATGTATTGACTGTTACATCATAAAATTTGAATCAGGATACAAATCCAGAGGTTCTCTTATTTACAACATTATGTATTCATAGAATGAACATGAATTGTGAGACCTGAATAATATTTACAAATCACTGTTTTGTTGTCTGCCAAATGTATGAGACAAGTGTATTAGAGTAAACAAATGTAGTAAATTATGTATTTATGATAATTTTATTTATAAGTATGTCAATATTACAACTACATTTTACTTTCTAGAGACATATCTACCAGCCGAGGCTGGCACTTCAACCCTAATGGCAGAGCCAGTACTTTCCTTCAGTATGTTGGTAAACCAGACTCATAGCATTGCATGTCAAAAGGTAATGCTGTATCTACCGACCTCTAAAATCTTTGGCCTCCTTTTTTAAAAATGCCAATTTTCCTTCTATCTCTTCCTTTTCAGCTGTCATAATTCATCCAAAATGTGGACTTTGCTACTTTTCTTCTGCGATGTGACTCACTACGTCTCCTCCCTCGCCTTAAAGTTCTTTGGCATTTATCCTTATTTTAAGTCTACTGTGCAAATATATAATGGAAATTTTTGACAGATTAACAAGCTTTTGTGGTGTCTCAAATTTCCTTAATGTTTTACATAGAAGTTCTCTAGCCAACATACCTCAGAGTTACTCAAAATCAATGAACAATAGATGCAAATCAATGCCAATACCAATTTTAATCCATGCATCTGATAAGTGGTTATCTCTTGTATATGATGTTAGCAAAAATGTTATAACCTACATTCAGTAATGATATTCCTCTATAGTTACTGCGTTGTGAATTCAGCATGTTATTGCAGTTTCTCAGTTCTCTGACATACTTACCTTTTTTTTTAATTCGCTTAGTGGGGGGTGGAGTCCAGCTGGGTCTACTTGGCACGGCAGCCACTTCTGGCCTATTGTACCAGCCCCAGATGGTAGGTGAGGGTGATTGTGGAGCAATTGGTGGAATGAAGATTGGCAGGGGAAACCGAAGTACTCGGAGAAAACCCGCCCCAGCGCCACTTTGTCCACCACAAATCCCACTTGACCAGACTAGGGATCGAACTCGGGCCGCCGCGGTGGGAAGCCAGCGACTAACCGCTTGAGCCATGGCGCGGCCTATATTGTTAGACTGATCAAATCATGGAGGATAAGATGTGTTGGATATCTAGCATGCATGGGAGAGAAATGCACACAAAAACATTGACATAAATACCTATCGAATAGGCACCATTAGGAAGTCGGGCACGCGGTAGCGTAGTTGGTTGAGCCACTATGCTACAAGTCGGAAGGTTCAAGTCCCAATGAGGTCATTATATATTTTTTTTTCAATTGACCTAATCCTTCTAACTGCAGTATGGCCCTGGGGTCGACTCAGCCTCTAACAGAAATTAGTACCATGAATATTCTCGCAATATTCTTGGGGGTAAAGGGCGGCCGGTGCGTAGGGCTGACAACCTTGCCGCCATCTGTGAGCCTATTGTCTAGAAAATGTGGGAACCTCAACATCTCTCAACCCTATGGTCTTCCACGGCCTGTTACAAGGATACCTTTACTTGCGTACTTTTTGGGCCGCGCCATAGCTCAAGAGGTTAGTCGCTGGCTTCCCACCGCGGCGGCCCGGGTTTGATCCCGGGGTCTGGTCAAATGGGATTTGTGGTACACAAAGTGGCGCTGGGGCAGGTTTACTCCGAGTACTTCGGTTTCCCCTGCCAATCTTCATTCCACCAATTGCTCCACAATCACCCTCACCTATCATCTGGGGCTGGTACAATAGGCCAGAAGTGGCCGCAGTACAAGGGACTTAGTCCCTCTCCACTAGCAATAAAAAATACTTACTTTTTACCATTAGGAAGTCATTGATGTGGAGACAGTATTTAAACATATCTCAGAGAAATAAAATAAGACGATTTCGACTGTATTTTTTGACTGTGTATAAAAAGCCATGGCGGAATTTTGTAAACACGGTAATGAAACTTTAGGTACCACAAAATTCTGGGAATTTATGTATTGACTGGGCAAGTATTGGTTTCTCAAGAAGAAGTCAGTTTCATTGAATGAATCAGTGTCTGCTACTTATTAATTTTCTGGATTCGCTGTAGTCTGGAAAACTTTATTTCTTGCTGGTATTTAAGTATGATGTTAAGCTCCAAGATATGTTTAGGGTTCGCTCTTATTTCTAAGGAGATTAAAAATGCTGCCTCGATTCTCAATTACAATCCTATCTTCCATAATAATATTATTTTCTGTGACTGTTGTGGCGTGATTGCCGACAGTCACACAACAAGCTTCCCGCAAACAAAAACATTCAGGACAGCCATTGGCCACAAACCAACAAAACTGCAAGTAGCAGCATATATACAGAAACTTAATATACATATGTACCTTAAAATAAAGCTCTAACATAACACATCACATATTATAGATAAGGCAAACACGTGCATAGCAGTTGTTCAAGGACACCCAAATAAAACAGCTGGACAGCCCACAAAAATACAACCAGGCAACTACACGAGAAACGCAGATTTCTTCTTCACAACAACGTGCGCACCTGACGATGGCCAGTCCGGCTGTAACATGCACAGTAGCAACAAACAGAATGTGACGAGAGAATATTCACCGACGTTGCACAGGGACGGCAAGAAAGCGGGACGCAAAGTGAGATTTACGCAGTGCAACAGGATGTTGCAATTTAATGTTATTATCTTCACCCAAATTAAGCCTCGAGTCGGAGAGCCCTGAAATTTTGTTAGAGCAGGCGCGTGTGACTCTATGTAAATAGTTTTGGCTTGACGGAATAATATACTTTCGTAGTTAACTGATATTCCACATATTGGCAGGAGAAGGGATTGAGCGAAACATTGTCTGCGACCTTCATCCGCGTGTTAGCCATTTCCCTGAAGTTTACCTTGCTTTATTTGAGTCACCACGAATTTGTGTGCATAATTACACTGCATTATACATTACAGCATCTTCCGACGTTTCCGGCCATCACATGGGTCCCTGCATTCGCTTTTGTTTTTCTGCTATTTTGTTCCTATACCGGCTAATGTTTAATGGTGTTATGTTTGCTGTCTCTGGGCGCAGACGTGAGGCAGCATATGTAGGCTTGAGGGGAGCAGAAAATGTTTGGTGCTGCAGCGCATGGAAATAACGGAAACAAGCAAGAAAGAATGGAAAGACAAAATACGTATTTCTACTCGAGAATGTGATGATATTCTTCATGACTTCGACTTTAATCTTTATTTAAGAGTAGTTTCAGGAATGCTCAGCCTCTAACAGAAATGAGTACCAGGAATTAATTAAATAATTTTCCTGGGGAGTAAAGCGCGGCCGGCGCGTAAGGCTGACAACCTTACCGCCATCTTTGAGTCGATTGTCTAGATAATTTGGGAGCCTCAACGTCTCACAAACCTATGGGCCTTCACGGCCTGTTACAAGGGTAGCTTTACTTTTTACTTTACTTACCTCAAGCCAGAGGACTTCCAGATGTTATACACCACTGGCTCTTCCTCTTGTAAGAGAAAGGTGGAAATCTCTCTCAGGAGAGACTCATTAACGCGCTCACCAAACTACCATTAATGAAAGCAGGAAATAGTCCGAAGTTCTGTGGTCAAGTGATATTTTTACCGAAAATATCGTCGCGTGGATCATAAGTGCAATGTGCTGTAAAAAGGACAAGCTCATTAGTCACCAACCATTTTTCATACTTTATATTTCCTCCACCTTTCGTCCTTAATTTATTAATATGTAGCTCTCATTTGCACAGTCGCCGCGCGGTCTAAGGCATCAAATGTCTTCGCTCGCTCGAACACTGGGATCGCGGGTTCCAATCCCACTCGAGGCATGAATGTCTGTATTGCTTGCGTTTATTCTGTGTTTGTGTTGTTCTGTGTGTAGGTGGAGGCCTTGTGACGGGCTGATCCCCGTCCAAGGAGTCCTACCGACTGTTTATAGGATTAAGAACATGAAAAAGCGGCCAAGGTCCAGCAAAGGGCTGTAGACAATACTACTACTACTACTACTACTACTACTACTACTACTACTACTACTAATAATAATAATAATAATAATAATTTGCACAGTTCCCTTGTGCTATGTATACACTCAATTTCCAGCACTTGGACGCCCTCCGTCGACCTCTGAACTTGGCTGTCATCTTAAAATGCATGTTCTGCCGCGGTTGCGACGGCTTGTTCAGCTGTTTTGTTGCTGTAGCAAACTGACGATCCATGGGCCGGCTCCGGTCTAGCGTGCGGAGTGCCAGATTGGCCCGACTTGTAATTTACTTTCTCAAGAAGGAATATACACATATACTGACAACAATGTTTGTGAAGCTCTGTGCTGTACAGCACTCCAGTATATCAAGATGTGATCTCAGTCACGATTCAGCTTGACGACTTCCTTGCTCACTTGCAAAACGGCAAAAACACGCAAATTCCATGTGCTTTATAAAGCACCACGTCATGGAGACGAATGGGGAAGTGGAGGAATATCTCCACACATTCTTAACCTTGGCAGTCGGTAGAGATCCTAGCAATAGCAATGAATGTCAATCACGAGTGTTAGGGAAGGCGGTGGGGTCTGCACTGAGGTGAGTCCTGTGAATCTGTGGACCGCCTCACAGTAAGGTCCAATGTCAGCCTTCTGTAATTACGATGCTGAAACATTCTTTTGTGTTTACGTGTCTCCTTTATTGGACTCCCCTTTCCCCGATTAGGAGCCGGCACATGAAGACATCTCAGGAATTTCATGGCCCCTATCAAGTCTATTGCGGTAGGGATGTCCAAACTCGCCCTTGACGACATTTCAGGATTTCATGGCCCAGTTCCAATCTGTTACGAAAGGGCTACCCAAACTAAAATCACTGCCTGCCTGCATTCTACCTTAGGTGCCAATACCTACCGGCGGATGGCTTTATAAAACACATTTTTATGAACATGCAGATAAGATTATTTGCCCTTCAGTAACCGGATCTAAGGAGAACAAGCACTGGAGTAAGAACTGAAGCTAGCGGCCTCCGTAGTCTAGAGGTAACGTTCCCACCTCATGACTCAAATACCCGGCGGAGGTCGTCGAATTTTTAAGGGCGGAAAAATTCAGGGAACAAGTCCTCCGGGTGGGACTTTAAACCGTGGGTCCCGTGTCGTAGCTTTACGGCACGTAAAA